CAACACAGGTATGTCAGAAGGAAGTTACACAATTGCAATGAATGCTATTCCTTGACTTCTAAGAATCTGGACCATCAGTTCTCTGTTTCCCCAAAGTTCCTATGGGCCTACATTGGAATGAAGGAATAATCTGTGTCTTTTGGATTGATACAATAAGGTGAGTAATGAATGGGAACACTGTAGAATATATGAAGGGTATGTGTGGAAACATTTTGGAAAGCAAAGGAAAAGAATGGGGGCTGTTGAGAAGAAAACAGTTCCTAAAATAAAAAAAGGATAGACCCTGGGAGATCCTCTCAATAGAGGCCATTCATTAAGACTTGCCTTTCTTATACAGATTAGAAGGCTGAAATGCAGGGACAGACCAATCGTAAAAGCCATAGTCTGAGCACAAATCCAGCTTCATTGCCAAACCACTACAAACCAGACCAGAATTTTAAAAGCAACATGGGAAGTAAGTAGTTTAGCCTGCAGTGCAAAATTAGACTTAATAAGGACTGCTGGAAAGAGTTATTTCAAGCTAAGCCAAGAGAACACATTTCTTGAGACAACCTGAAGCCAGCAGAGTTTAGCAAAGCATATTTAACTTTCTCAGTCAAGAGTGATTAACACTGTTTGTTTCTAGGTATGCAACAAATAAACTGCCCATTTTATGAATACATTATTTATATTGATCATGCGTATATAGGATGAAATCTTGGAAAAGAGGATGAAACAGCTTTTAGAGTTATTACAACTTCTTCCCATCTGAACTTACAATGAGTAAAGCTATTTGATGTTGCCTGGTTCCCTGTTTGCAATGTTACAGATCACATCTCACCTTGTTCAGTATGACAATTCCTTCCTGGGTGTCAGTATTAGTAATGATACAAATGATAGGAGGGTTATCATCTTCTATTATATAATCCATAGCTGCATTGTCTCCTATGTCACTGTCATTTGCCATGATTTTTCCAAGGATGGTGCCCACGGGAGCTGCCTCGGATACATTCATTTCATAACGCTCTTAAAGAAAAGGCAATTATCAGTACAAGCCTGATTAAATGTTCATTGTTCATTTGAAGCAACAAAATGTACAGTAAATTGTGATCCTTTCTGAGAATCACATTGTTATGTAAAGAGGTATTGTAACAAATATTTCTTTGTTTGGGCTATTAGCTCATTGTCTTTAACAGCTTTTGACTGTTTAATTTAACCATTCTTGAATTTCAAAAGAAGAAGCTGCGTAGAGTGTTTTTTTAAACTATTGCAATATAGAACTGCTAAATCTCTTGTGTCTGAAGTTTTTCCTTTTAACCTGACACGTTTATATCCTTATTTATAATTAGAATAACACCAGTGAATAGTAGAACATCAAAATATAGCAAAGTTCTTAAATTTGAATACCAATCAATTTGAAAATCCATTTCCCAAAGCAGATAAAATAAAGAAAGTTCAACCAACTTTTCCCTGTTATATCCATATTATTGTCACCTTTTTAAATTGACTCATATCAAGAGATTGCTATCTCCTCTACTCCCCTCTCCCTTGGAAGCTTTTTTCACACATCAAACACATTGGTTCTGCTATCAGAACATGAGATGCCCTCAAAAGCCTTTTCTCCCCTTGCTTTTATCTGATTCTTTTTTCTCTGTTTTCTTTTCCTAATTGGGAAATGAAAGAACTGGTCTTCTGATGTGTCTCCTTCGTTCAGAGCAACCAATAATAAATACATAAATAACAACCACAAAATCCAATATACGTATTAAAAGAAAAAGAAATACATTAAGGCAACTACAGTAAGGTTTCATCACATAAAAGTCTTCTGTTCTTACGTATGCAAATCAAGATTCTTCTGAACTGTTTTATTCAAATTACCTTATAAATTTACTCATAACAAATTAAGAATAGAGGCTCTCTCCCCTACCCTTTAGCTAGTTACTTTGTATGTAGCATTATTTGATTTTGTTGCCTATTTTTTAAAACTTCAAAATGGAATTTTGTGGATAACTGAGAGCCACTGTTTAAAGAAATTTAGATAACATGACTGCTCTTGTTACTGAGTCTTGTCTTGGGAAGTTGATGGGAATTCTCTGAGATGGCATGAAAATAACACTGCAAATTTGAGATCCTTTCTCTGTTTTAAGCCAAGGGGTGTTTTCATTTTCTTAAATTAAAAATCTGTTGGATTGCTATGAACTGCTTTGCTTTCCGTGTTATTCCATATTAGTTTATCACTTCACTACTTCATCTTCCTAGGATTTTTGTCCTTAAATAACTCTTATTTCAGCTCTTCGACATATATTGCGTGTATCATATAGCCAAACCTGAATAGTTGTGTGTTAATCCTCCAGTAAAGGAAGACAGGAAAGGAAGTAGCTTTAAAAATGAAGCAGAGAGGAAAATAATTCCTTCCAGTAGCATAATAATTACTATTTTAAAAAAAATTATGAGCTTCCAAGACTTTTTATGCATGACAACTTGGTGCAACATTAGCCTAAAATAATTGGCTTTAGTAAATTAAAGTTAGAGGCAGATTGTTATGGTTTATTTTTTAAATTTACTATATGCTCAACTCCAATGGAATTTTTAATGTTTTTAGGGATAGATGATGACAAACAAATAGCAATAGTACTTAGACTTATATACCACTTCACACTGCTTTATAGTCCTCTTTAAGTGGTTTACAGAGTCAGCATATTGACCCCAACCATCTGGGCAGTGGTGGGAACCGGCTGCTGCCACTGCGGGTTCGCTCATTACTGTGCGTGCATCCACAGTACTGAAAAAAAATGCTTCTGTGCATGCGCAGAAGGAAAAAACAAGATAGAA